GGACTTCACGTGACTGCCACCCAGCACCTGTGTGTGTGACCTGGAGCAGGTCACATCCCCCTGGATCCGTAGGTGCGGACGCTGGAAGGAAGGTGCTGGACTAGGTGGCTTACGGTTCAGCGGGGAGCACAGGACCAGCAGCTGGTGGGGGGACGGCGGGGGCGGAAACAGCGTTTCCCTCCCCAGCCGGCTTCTCAGCCCCTTGAGGTCAGCAGAGCACTGGCCCCTGACACCCTGCGTTTTGCACGATTCGTTTCCTATGCTCTGTGGGTCCAGAACGCTGCTGGCAGAGCCACTTACTTCACGGGCACGCTCTGCCAGACCCCCCCAGCCAGGAGAGAACAGGGACAAGGAATAGCCTCCTTCCCCTTCAGTGACAAGACTTCAGAAGTAAGACCCTGAGAATGAATGCACGGCAGACGGCTCTCTCGCCAGCGTGGAACTGACGGCACTATTTGCAGGGAAAGAAGCTCCTACAGACTTTCACCTCCACTGTCAGGACGCTCGAGTTTTGTATTTTACTTCAACTGCCTAACATGGAAGCGTTCTCCAAAAGCACTTCCTTACACCTCTTTTTTAAAAAGCCAAAGACATACGAGCGGCTGCATAGGTTGAAGTTTTCTTCATCAGGACACAGTACAAGACAAAACAGCGGGTTCGGGATGAGACCTTCCTCCGAGCCCCTAAGCGATGTGCTGCGATTAGCACCCTCGGCCACCGCTCACGTAAGAGGTTTCAAGAACTCGAGGGAGAGGCAGAGGTGGGGGGGGGGGTTCCAGTCCGGAAACTCGGATCCGCTAACACCACTCGGTACAAGAGCACACAGGGAGGTAGACACTGCAGCACCACACAGAGGCATCGGGCCTTCCATGGGAGTGGCCAAACCTCATTCTGGGGGGGCCTCCCCTCAGCAAGACCGAGGCTGCCATCAGGCGCCCAGAGCACAGTTCCTTGTCCCCAGCTCAAACAGCAGCAGCAATGACAGACCACGTAACACCGTCCAAAACCTCAGGTCACTTCTCACTTAGAGCTGGCTTGGTCCCAGGGGCAGAACTCTCCTCAAAACCAAGGTCAAACACATCGCACGGGGGCCCAGACTGGGGGAGGACACACTTCTCCGTCACAATTTCTAGCTGGTCTGGGAGGAAGGCTGGGAAGTGGGCACTGACCACACTGTCATTCCCGGAACGAGGTTAGGAAGCAGTTAACTAACCGCTCGGGCAGGCGGGCGGCAAGTGGCTGAAGGTCATCTTACCTCCTCAAGCAGGAAGCGGGCAGCCCTGCCAGTCCTTTGCACATCTTGGAGGGGGTCCGGGCTCGCAGAGGAGGGGCGGCTGTGCGGGACGGCTCGGCTGTGCAGGGACGGCGCTGGCTGTGCTGCGGGAGATGCTGTCAGGATTCTGGGCGCTCCCTCCGAGCCTGCGGTCCCTTTTAAAGCCCAGCCACCACCGGGCAGCCAATCAGCNCGGCTCAACTGACACAGCGTCCTGGAACTTCTCCAGCAAGACGGGGAGCCTCACAGCATCACCCAGGTCAGCATCCATTTCTTAGGAGACATGGAGCCGGTCCAGCCTGACCTGTCCATCACAGGGTGACCGCCCAGTGATCAGAACACACATGTATTTCTGTGCGAGCAAGAGACTCCAGGAGCTCATGACTGTGCACATCCATGTTACATGTGTGTGTGGTGTAAACAGGCACACTCACATCCACATGATAGGTCAAGCTCATCTAAGTGTCTAGACTTTGGAGAAAGTGCTGGCTAACGGAACCCACGTCCCTGTGGATGTCATATGATCTCTGAAAACCCAGGTCTATCAGACTGTTCTCTGGAACGTGCTCACGTGGCACCCTAAAAACTCCAGTGGAGACTGGGCTGAGGTCCCGGGCTGATGAACACCGAAACTAAGTCTAGAATGAACGGCACGCGGCAGGCAGCACAGAAACTAAGCTACATGTGGGCAAAGCGTGGGCTCCACGCACGTTGGGGTTTGGCCTCGGACTCTCCAGGCACAGAGTCTCAGCGTGTCGGCCCTTTGCCGGGGAGGGACAGTTAGGCACACTGGGGGACCAGGGAAGGACAGTCTGCGGGGCTCTTGGCTGCGCTCTGCTTCTCCGACCCACAGCCGGAAGGGCCGGCCAAGTCCAGGTAGAAGCGGGACTTGAGGAAGCGGCGGTAGGAGTCCTTCTCCATCAGGTGGAAAATCTTCCTCTGCGCCTCGTCAAAGCAGGTGAGGGTGGGCTCCAGCACGTTGCGGCTCGTCTGCTCCCGCGTGCAGGAGTCCAGGTTCACCTGCGGGCAGAGGCCAGGCCGTGAGACACGGTGCCCGTGGGGGGGGTTCAGGGGGGGCAAGCTCTGCNGCTCTTTCCAGGGGAACACTTCTTGAGTCCCCTCACTCCATTTTTACCTCCATTCTCTATCACACAAAGGAGAGAGCCCGTGTTTTCCTTCCTCGTGTCCTATTTGTGGGTGACATCAGGATGTTAGACAAAGCACTGTGTGCTGGAACAGCAGGAGTTCACGAGAAACAGCAACCTGGCCGTCCTGTGGGTTAACGGCCAAGCGAACGGCGGATTTGAATTCCTCTCTGAATTACGTGAATGCAGCTACTTAGGTCTTACACTGTGCTGTTGAGTCGGGCGGTCACGTGAGCCAATTCTTCTGACTGGCGTTGCTCTGATGGTATTTTTGCTCATACGTTTAGCCTGGGCTGATGGACAGCAAGTTTTCCCTTGAAGCTAGTTCTTTTTTCCTTGTCTCTCCTCTTTTCTCCTCTTTCATCTCATTTCTAACTTTAAGCTCCATTTACGTGGCATGCCAGGACACAGCCTGAGGCACCTTGGGTCGTTTCCCCAAAGTCAAGGCTCTGCTTGCAGACTGCTGCTCACGCACGCCATGTGTCCTGAGTCCTCACTCCTGTGTCTGCCCCTCCCTCGCATAAACGACCCCCGTGCAGCCCGGGGTGAGGAGCGTCCTGGCTCCATTTCTCAGACTGCGAGGCTGTGCTGCAGGATCCAACAGCCTCAGCGACCCTCAGCTCCCTGCGGTGACCCCTGGCATTCACTTTATATTCAGAACGAGGCGACAGGGCCTC